GGAATGTAGAGAGAAATAAAGTAAAAGCCCTACACTGTTGCAGAGGTCATGCTGGAAGTGTGGATTCTATAGCTGTTGATAGCACAGGAACTAAAGTAAGTTAGTACTGTGTTGAATTAGACTTTGAACTTATATATGAAAAAATTTTTTCTCATTATGTTCATTGTGATTTACCTACTTTTATAACAATTGGTGACCAAAGAATATGATTTCAAATCAAAAAGTAAATACTCATACAATAAAAGATATAGAGATTCACTTTCTCAGTCTGGGTATCTCTGGTTTAGAACTTTTATATTAATTGCAGAAATTTTAAGAAATCAGGTAATCAAGCAATTTCTTTCTGTAATCTTCTTAAATGATAGTGATTGACATTTTTAACCTTTGAGCTACTCACAGTGCTGTCATCAATTGAAAATGTGTAGTTGATCATCTAATAAGCCTTAGCATACACTAAGGTTAGTGTTAATCAAGGTTGTTTTACTATTATTGATCTACTCTTTATTATGACAAAATGGTAAAAGTTAAAAGAAAACAAACCTGAGGGCAACACTATTGACTTCTGAGGGATTATAAACTTTCTTACCATTTGAAAGTTCCGTAAACCACAATGAAGTATTCTGGATGTAAGAGTGTCTCCTCAGCATTTCTTTGGTAGTTAGTATAATAGAGGACATTTGATGCATTCAAAGTTAAAGATTTATGATTATTAAGCCATAAAGAAGGTTTACTTGTTGTCAAGTCCAAACTTCAGTGAATTAACTGTACCCTGTCTTTTGGCTGTAAGAGACAGGAACTCATCTTGCACTTTTTTCAGTTTAAAGTTTGTGAGATCCAAGCAAGGAGAGAACAACCACATCATGAACAGGGCGATGATGCATTTGGGTCTCAGAAACAAACGAGTGGAGGCTTGAATGTGACTAGCACACACCTTTCTTTCTAGTCTACCCTAGTTGACTCAATTTTTTTTAGCTGAGCCATCCTGCCACCTGTTGGCAGCTCAGCGGCAGCTCAGCTTGGGCCGTGAATTGAACTGGTGACCCTGTTGCTCAGAGCTCACACTCTTGAGCAAGCTCTTAACCAACTGAGCCACTTGGCCGGCCTAGTTGACTCTATTCTCACTTACCTCAAACTGGCTCTCAACATGGCAATAAAACCTGGCTTTCAGTATTCTAATGTTTTACATCCTGTACCATCTGTCCCTGGGACACAAGTTTTCAAAAAAGGTCCTGAAGGAGAAAAAGACCTATTGGCACAGTGTAGGTCAGTTGTCCATCCTGATGTAAGCAACCATGGCCAGGGCATAGGGCCATATGAGAATGCCAGCTCCTTCAGTTGCCATGAGATTGCAGGTACAACTTTCAGGAGACGAGGAAGACAGACAGATGATTCAGATGGTACCATAGTATTACAGTAAGGATTTCAGAGCAAAGTAAAGGTTTTAAGTTAAACAGAAGAAAACAATGCAAATAATATGATGGATTATAGTATATACTCTTTCTTCCTTCATATATATATCTGTTTAGTTTTGCAGTGGCTCCTGGGATAAGATGCTAAAGATCTGGTCTACAGGTAAATCACATATCTCTTTTACTTTGACTTATTAATGATATTTCAAGAATTTCAGTGCAAGAGTGCTTTTTAACCCATATTTTGCCATTAAAATGCACCAGGGCTTTTTAGGCCACAAAGGAACCTAGGATACAGAAAAATAAATATGTTGTTTTGTGTTTTAAAGTGTAATTCTACCCTACCATCCCCTTATTTATTGGACAGTGTCACTGAATTGCTGTAAGTGTCGACAACATGTATGGTTCAATAGGACATAACTGCTTTAGTTCTCGGAGTTTCCTTATTTGGAAGCCTGGAAATGAACAAAAATACTTCTGAGTAATTTAGATGCACTTTAAATTGTTAAGAGAAGTTTCTTAGTTAAGCTGGTTTATACTTTAAAACACACTTTTAATGCAATTTTACCAATCTTACTTTGAAAATATAGATTAGATGGAACAATAAGAGGAGGAAGAAGGAGGAGGGAGGACTCCTAGAGGAAGGTGCATTGATAGTAGTAAGAAGACACTGAAAGAAGAAAAGAGGAAAAAAATCTTACAGATATTTAAATTTTAAAAATATAGATTTATTGTACAGGTAAACAATCAGAATACCTCTGCTACTTCTGAGGTAATTGCTGTAGTACAGTATAATACCCTAAATACAGTTCACAAAGTGGAGTTGGGGGGATCAGGAAAAGCGTAAGAGTTTTAAGTAATTATATGTAAGATAGCAGGAAATATATAATCCATTTTAGTAGATTTTCCAAAAATGCTTAAAACAGTTTTGAGGCAGTAGGTGGTTGGTTTAGAAATTTTTCCCTTTGTGGAATATTTTATTTTTTGATAGTTCTGGGTAAATGAGATATGTATATGATTAGTTGTTACCCTTAAGGCACTTATAGTCTAGTTTGGGGAAAACTTAATAGTCATAAAATAGTTATAAAACAGTAGTTTTCCATCTGGGTTTGTTACTTGGCCAAAAGATGTGTAACAAAGATACTTTTTTAAAAATCAAACAAAAAGTAGCTATGAAACACTTTTAATTCATTATTAGAAAAGTAAACTAAAGAATAAACATGGCTGGAATATATGTCCTTTTAACGTGTAGCATTTCCTTCATAATATAAATACAATCTGGTCTGAACTACAACTAGAAGTAAGTTTTTCATAGATATGATAAAGTAATGAATATTCATAATGATGAACTTAAAGACATAGCAAGTTATCAAACTGGCTAGGTTCTAGGATTTTAATGTACTTTACTTTTTGCTTGCTCCTTTTGAAAGATAGGTAACCCACAGTTGTTGTTATGTATAATTTTCTGTTAACCAAAATAAAGAGGAATAGGGCCGGCCGAGTGGCTCAGTTGGTTAAGAGCACGAGCTGTGAGCAACAGGGTCACTGGTTCGATTCTCACATGGGCCAGTGAGCTGCACCTGAGGTGAGCTGCCACTGAGCTACAGGTGGCAGGATGGCTCAGCTGATGAGAGCGCATGCTCCAAACAACAGGGCTGTTGGTTTGACTCCCGCATGGGATGGTGGGCTGCACCTACCTGCAACTAGATAGAACACAGCACCTTGACCTGAGCGGCCGTGGGCTGCGGATGGGCGGCCAGATGGCAGTTGGACTTGGAGCTGAGCTGGCTGTGCCCTCCAAAACTAAGATTGAAGGACAACAACTTGGATGTTCCCCTTCCTCAATTCCCCAATAAGATCTTTAAAAAGAATAAATAAAAAATAAAGAGGAATGTCTGTTCCCTAGCCAATTGAGATAATACGAAGAAAGTATATACCCAGAAATGTAAGAATTTGAGACTATTTGCAATTAATATTTACCATAAATTTAAAAAATATCAAATCTAATTCTCTATGATACAGTCCCTACAGATGAAGAAGATGAAATGGAGGAATCTACAAATCGACCGAGAAAGAAACAGAAAACAGAGCAATTGGGACTAACAAGGGTAACTATGTATTTGTGAGAACTGACTATACTTGGCTTAGGTCTGTATTGACAAATATATGGCGATTTAATATAACCCTTCCTATTTAAATCCCCTTTTGTCCTGCCTTGTTGTTTCAACCATAATTAGGGTTTCTTTCTGCAAATTTGTAAATTTTTATTATAAATACTGCTGTACTATGCTACATTTATTTGAGTCATTGAACGTAGTGGCATTGAATCAGGATTACAGATTGCTGGGTTGATTATTTAGCTATTATATTTGAACTCCTGGTGCATTTTGAAGTAAGATATTTCAGTTGTTAAAGCTTACACTATACACCTGAAACTAAAATTAAAAATTTTTTTAGAAAGAAAAACATGAATAAAATGGCAATAACTACAAAAAAAAATGTAAAAGCTTACACTAAAGTTAAGTGAAGCATCTCATTACCTGTTTAATATTGTTTCATACATTGAAGATGTAATTCTCACTAGGGTAGGGATGCTAGTTGTATCTCTAAATCACTAGAAACCAAGAATTTAATTAGGATTTTGATTCCATCATTTAGCTACTAGATCTAATTAAATCAAACTCAAAAATTTCATCTATATTCTAGTTCTGTTAAGTTAGAGAGATATTTGTCATAATATGATCTGACCTGTATTAATATACTTAAGAAGGGCAATGTTCAAGAAAACATTTTTCGTTTATTTTCTACAACTGTAAGGAACGTGCAATAAATCAAGCACACATTTGCACATTATTTCTTGTAGTTACCAATAAGATATCCTACAACAATTACTGAAAATGAGGAATAAAGTGTGATCATAATTGATTCATCAAACTCGTAAAATGAAATAAACAATAGCACTTACTGGTTCTGAGAGTAGTGATTTATAATTTCTTAATACATTTAAACATGGATTGCTGAATTACAAGAGGAATGATCTGGCAGCAGCCCAGCTTCCTTATCACTTAGTCTGGTAGGACAAATTAAAGTTGTAAATGCCTTCCCAATTGGATATTGTGCCAGTGGTAATTTATTGATGCATATCCCTGATCATCCTCTAAAGAATATATCTGGAAGATCCTGAATTATAAAAATGCTTTACACAGAAGGTAGCTTTTCTTTAACCTTTCTTTTAATTGAAGTTTGGCATACATATAATTAATTGTACAGCTCAATGAATTTTTAGTTTTATATATGCCTAACTAATCACTATCCAAATCAAAACATTGAACATTACCAACACCCTAGAAGACTCCCTCTAGCCTCCCTTGCAATCAGTAGCCCCCTAAAGGTAATCGCTGTTGTGACTTACTCATCCTAGATTAGTTTCACCTATGTAGTATCTATGAACAGATTTCATTCATGCTGCTGCATGTAAGGGTTCTTTTCATTAATATATAGTATTCCATTGCATGAACATACCAGAATTTATCCGTTCTTTTGATGGACATTTAGGTTGTTCCCAGTTTTGACCATCATAAATAAAGTTGCTAAGGAAAGTTCTTACACTCTTCTTTTGGTGTATGTATATATGCAGTCATTTCGGCATGTGTAGAATTGCTGGGTCACAGAGTACGTACATGTTCAGCTTTTTGAATATTTGATACTGCCAAAAAGTTTTCCCAAATAGTTATATCAGTTTATACTCACACAGTGCATGAGAGTCAAAGTTAATTCACATGCTTACCAGTACTTGATAGGGTCAATTTTTTAATACCACAACTGATTTTATTTTCCCACATAACGTATGTTTACATTTACTTACTGTTACAAAGATATAATTTTATAGATTTCTGGTTGTGTGCAGTATAATTTATAGCCCAGCCCTTTGATATCTAATTTATGAAGTGCCTATTCATGTTTTTAGCCTGTTTTTCAAAAGTTGCCTATCTTTTTCTCATTGATTTGCAAAATTTCTTTATGTATTCTGGTTTCAAAGTCTTTGCCGGATATATGTATTATAATTATTTTCTCCCTCTCAGTGCCTTGCTGATAACTTCTGTTTTTTGGTGTATACTTTTATAAATTTGCATCCATTGTTGATTTTATTTGAGAGAAATCATAATATATTCACTTTCTCATAGTTTATTTTTAAAACCCTTGAAGTGCTATATGAAGTGAAAATTGTGCTACAATTAGAAATAATAGAAAAGGTTGGATTTTTAAGACTAAAATTGATAAGACAAATATCAAAAATGTTATCTTCTTTCTGGATTTATATCTAGTACCTTATTTGTATTAATATGAGTAATGCTGCCAATTAATTAATTTGTTATTTGTTTCATACATTAACACACAGTAAGATTTTCTCGTCCATTTTCTCTCAAAATTGCTTTTTCTCTCCAGTATTGTTCTACTGGAGTTTGTAGTAACAGAGCCAAAGTAACAGTGACTTTACTACCTTTTTAAAAGAATTTACATGTAGGAAAATTCACTCTTTTTGGTGCATAGCTTTTGAATTTTGATAAATGCATAGAATATGTTACTACTACATAATCAAGATACAGAACAGTTTGTCATCACCTAAAACTTAATGTTGCCCATTGATAGTCGTCCCTTCCCTTCTGCTTCTATCCCCTGCAACCATTGATTGGTTCTTCATTCATGTAATTTTTCTTTTTCCAGAATATCATGTAAGTGGAATCAATGCAGTATGTAGACTTTTGCATCAAGCTTTTTTTTCCACATATTATAATGTATTTGCAATTCGCCCTCCCCCCAATGTTTTTTTTTTGAGGGGGGGGACAAGGGAGAAAAAGATTCATCCAGGTTATTAGCTATAATGGTTTCTTCCTTTTCAAGTTGAGTAGTATTCTGTTGTACAGATATACAACAGTTGGTTTAATCCCTCACCAGTTGAAGGATATTTGGGTTATTTCCAGTTTGATAATCATGAATAAAACTGCTAGAAAAAATTGTGGATAGGCTTTTGTATCAGATTCCTTTACCACTTTCAGGAAATTTTTAAAGCTGGAAGAGAGACCTTAGGAATCATTTGGTCCAAGAGTTGGCAAACTATAACTCATTAGCCAGTTTGGCTATGGCCTATTTTGTGCTGTGGAATGCTAAGAATGATTTTTACATTTTAAAAGGTTTTCAAAACAAACAAAGATTATGCAACAGAGACTATATGTGGCCTGGAAAAGCTAAAATATTTACTTTCTGGACCTTTACCATAAAACTTATATGATCTCTGATCTAGTATAACCCCTTCACAGTACACATGAGGTAGTAATATTTAAGGGGACTAAATGTAACAGTTAACAAAAGTAAATTATCTCATTTCAGAATTATTTCCATTTCTCACATGTTCCTTATATTTATAACAGGCACTACACCTGATTTGGGGATTTTAATTTGAGAAAGACAGTAGAGATTTTGGAGTATTAAATAAGCCATGGACATTATTTAAAAAGTTGGACGCTAAGGATATAAGGTGGAAAGAATAACCTATGAAAGTAATTTACCTGGGAGAGTCATGTAGAAAATGGCAACACCTTGACTCAAACCTAGATCTGACTCCAGAGCTTTTTCTACTAACTTCTACATATAACATATTTGGCAACTGAAAGAACTAAGTGTTATTAATACTCCTCAAAATGAAAAGTAGAACAAATGAGGAAGCAGCAGACTATAGCAAAAGGACTACAAACTTTGGAGAAATATTTAAGTTCAAATTTAAATCTGCAGCTTATAAGCTCTATGACCTTGGACGAGTTATCTTTCTCAGCTTCAGTATCTTTATCTAAAAAATTAAAACAAATATGTCTTGGAGGATTGAAGTAAAGAAGAAATAAGGCAGCATATGAAAGCAAAGCAACTGACAAACTATGTAGCATATGGGCCTCAGAAGTAATAACTACTGTTACGGTTTCAGTTACTCTAAACTGAAAATGGTTTCCCTTTTTGGATGTTTCATTTCTAGACACCCATAGTGACCCTCTCTGGCCACAAGGAAGCAATTTCCTCAGTTCTGTGGTCAGATGCTGAAGAAATCTGCAGTGCATCTTGGGACCACACAATTAGAGTATGGGATGTTGAATCTGGCGGTCTTAAGTCAACTTTGGTAAGACTTACAAATTCAGTTGTACTCTGATTAACTTTGAGCTTTTAAATGATATACTTGTAAAGATGATTCCTTGTAACCCACCATGGTTAAATGTCTTTCCCCCCATTTTTTTTTTTTTTTCCAGACAGGAAATAAAGTGTTTAATTGTATCTCCTATTCTCCGCTTTGTAAACGTTTAGCATCTGGAAGCACAGATAGGCATATCAGACTGTGGGATCCCCGAACTAAAGGTGAGTTCCACTGGAGGAAAAATGTGTGTAAATAACATCAATTTCTCTTCTCACTAGACGTGTATAAAAGGATAATGTTCTATATAATTTTTTTTAGATTTGTTCTGCCAGCTTCTTTTTTCTAAAATTCACTAATTGTTATCTGTTTTGCTTTTGTCAGATGGTTCTCTGGTGTTGCTGTCCTTAACCTCACATACAGGTTGGGTCACAGCAGTAAAGTGGTCTCCTACCCATGAGCAGCAGCTGATTTCAGGGTCTTTGGATAACATTGTCAAGCTGTGGGATACAAGGAGGTAAGTCCTATTTATGATCCACAGAAGAAATACATTAGTTGCCTGTTGTATACAGAGAAATTGCAGTGAATACTGAAATGATAAATATTGATATCAAAAAGAAAAATGAGGTTCAAAGAAATTTTCATGTTAATAAGTTGCTTTCTGCAATCTGAAAGAATTGAATTGTGATAGTTTATCATTTGCCAAAAAAGGAAAAAAATCCGTAAGTTTATAAAATCCATCTTTTTGACCTTGTTATATAAAACAGGAAAAGTTTAGAAAAATTATCCTGAACCTTAACATAAATATGATAACTACAGAAGGCCAGTGGTTTCTGAATAAATGGAACTGTGATCAAATTATAATTACATGTTAATAGAAGGTTAAATAAAAATACATATTTTTAAAGGTAAGTGGATATTAAATGTTTCTTTCTTACTCATTGGCTAGTGCTATGATACTAGTATATGCAGAGTGCCCCCAATAAAATGCATACACAATTTATTTACATATTTTTACAAGTAGAGAAGCATTAACCAATTTGTTGTTGTTTACCTTAAATCTGCTTTCTAACATCCTTATACTACATGATTTGTTAATACCTAGAAGGTATATACATTTTAATTGGATACTTTATATAGCAATTAGCATATAGTTTCTGGTAACAGTAAGTGCTATGATGAGAGTAAAGGGACACTTCTTTGGGGAAGGCCTCTCTTTGAAAGTGATATTCTAGTAGTTAATTGCACAATGTGAAGGTAAGAGCCACACAGATCATGGCAGAAGGAAAATGGAAAAATCTTGTGGAAAATCTTGGTATATTGACAAAATAGCAAGAGAGCCAGAGTTGATGGAGTGGAGTAAGGTGGGCCATGGGGCAGATAGTGGTTTTACTGAGCAGGACCTTGGTAGGCCAGTAAGGAATTTGGGTTTCATTCTAAGTGTGATGAGGAAGGCTTTGGAAGTTTTCAAGCAAGATAACAAGAATGAAAGCAGAGAGGCTATTATTGTAATTCAAGAGAAGGAGAATGGTGATTTGGACTATGGGAATAGCATTAGAGATAAGTGGTTGGATTTTAGATATAAGTATTTTGAAGGTAGATCTTTGGCAGGATTGGCTCAATTGAATATGGAGATAGGACTCTAGGATAATGCCCACATTTTCTGCCTGAGCAATTGGGTGATTAGTGGTGCCGTTTACTGTGATGAGAAAGAGTACAAAAAAGAGGTTTCTGAGGGGAAATCAAGAGTTTTGCTTTGGTTGTTTTAAATTTGTAGTGCCTGTAAGACATCTAGCTGTCAGCCAATTGGATATACATATCAGGGCCGGCTGAGTGGCTCAGTTGGTTAAGAGCTCGCTCAAGAGTGCGAGCTCTCAGCAACAGCGGTTCAAGTCCTGGCCCGAGCTGAGCTGCCGCTGAGCTGCCAACAGGTAGCAGGATGGCTCAGCTTAAAAAAAAAAAAAAAAAAAAGAATGGATATACATATCAAACTCATGGGAGGAGTTTGGGCTAAACATACAAGCTTGGGAATTATCAGCATATAGATTGATAAACAGTTTATAAAGCCTTAATTTGGAGGTAAAAATAAAGTAGTCATGAAACTGAAAATGGGCCTAATTATAAAGTTTTATAAATAAATAGCATTTTTTCCCGAATATATTTGTTGTAGTAAATGTCTGTTGTCTACTAATGATATAAGGAAAACAGAAGAGGTGCTTAATACTCAGAATTTTAATATTAAGTGGTTATTGGGGCAAGAATGGTAAACTGTAAAGTTTTCAGAAAACTGTAAGTGATTATTCATATATGTTTGTTTTAATACTGTGAAATACATATAACATGTTAATATTTTCATCTTTTAGTTGTAAGGCTCCTCTGTATGATTTGGCTGCTCATGAAGACAAAGTTCTGAGTGTAGACTGGACAGACACAGGGGTAAGAATTTATTGGTTATTTGGTGAAGAAGAAAATATACTATTAGAATAAATCTGGTATTTGTGTTTGCAGAGTTAATAGTTTCAGTATATCTGATATTTATAATTCTATATTCTAAATTCTCATTATTATTCATAAAATTTTACATCTCAAAGAAGAAACAAATTGTCCTTTAATATTAGGAATAGTAAAATTTGAAAATTTTGAAGTTTTTTTCTCATGAGTATTTTCATGAAATGTTTTAAGTCCATAAAGTTGCTACTGTAGATTAATTGGACCAAAGTAGTTCCCATTTAGAAAAATCTTATATAATAAATCTAGATTATAAAATGTGTTTAAAGAATTACAGTTTAATTATGTTTATATGTATGCATAAGCTCTTAATGCCTAAGAATTCTTTTCAAATATAGGTCCTAGGACTACTTGAATAATTTGTAATATCCATTTACCCACAAATAATTAATGTACTCTCCTTTAAAACCTTTATTTTCTTACATAGGTAAAACTAGATTATCTTTCAAACTTTTTAATGTTATTACATTTCTTAGCAAATATTTCATAGAAGGTATAATAGTATATTACACCTCGACCAAATTCAAATGATTACTTTTAAAGTTTTAATATACTACCGTATTTCCCCATGTATAAGATGTTCCCATGTATAAGACGCACCTTAATTTGGGGGCCCAAAATTTGAAAAAAATGTATTATATAAAGTAATTGAACTCAAGTTTTATTCATCATAAAATTCATACAACTCCTCATCACTGTCAAAACTCCCAACCATTAGCTTGTCCTCATCTGTATCTGATGACGAATCACTGTCTTCATATATTGCCTTGTCCTCAGCGGGAAATGCAAGTGAAAAAATCTACAACCACTGTATAATACACACCCCGTTTTTAGACCCCAAATTTTTCGGAAAAGGGTGTGTCTTATACATGGGGAAATATGGTATATTGTAATACAGTAGTAAAATTGATGTAATTTGTCCATTTAAGTATTAACTTTCCATGCAAGTTGACTATTCATCCATAATTCCTTCTGTAATCAGAATCACCATTATTTGCTTAGTTTTAGCTATCATATGAAATAACTATATTTACTTCTGTTTGTGTTTTTTTCTCTCCCTTTATGCAGTTACTTCTGAGTGGAGGAGCAGACAATAAACTGTATTCCTACAGATATTCACCTACCACTTCTCATGTGGGGGCATGAAAATGAATAAATTTGACTACAGAGATTGTTTCTATAAATGTAACTGATAGATAATCCTCACATTACATCAATGCAGATCATCCTTGATAATCGTTATCACTGTCATTTTCTTTATTTTGTAATTTATTATATAACAGTTTGTGTTTATAAAATATAAAATGGCCTGCATTCTCTACCTTATGCAAACTCTTGAATATATACTGGGTTTTTCATTTCTTTTTAAAGGTACTGGTTTGAATTAAGATTTGCTTTTGAAATACTATAAAAGCATATATTAAAAATACAGTAATTGGGGTGGCTGGTTAGTTCAGGTGTTTAGAGCACAGGTTCAAAACACCAGGATTTCTGGTTCCATTTCCACATGGGCCAGTGAGCTGCACTCTCCACAACTAGATTGAAAACAACAACTTGACTTGGAGCTGATGGGTCCTGAAAAACACGGTTCCCCAATAAAGTTTAAAAAAAAAAATATATATATATATATATATATATATAAATGGTCCAGATTTTTATTTCTGATGGAGACATTTAACTTTTTAAAGTTAGCTATTTTTAAAAACACCTCCAAAAAAGCCCTAATAAATTTTAATAGAGAAAAAATTAGAAATACAGTATGATTTTGGTAAAATAAGTGATACCTAACTATAGTAAGACTTTCTAGGTATTCAGAACATTAAAATATGTAGATGTTGCCAATTTATTAAGAATGTTGAAATATTTGAAGTACTACGTATTAAAGATATGTCAGAATCCTTTAGAAACTGCATACAGATTTATGGTAACCAGGAATCTCTACCACACTTACCCTTGTATGTAGATAAGAATAGATTCTTTAGACAAAATCTTTCAGTCAATATTAGATACAAACAATCTGCAGATTTTCTATCATTAACATTTATCTAAACTCATGTTAAATACCAAATATGTAAAGTAAATGTCTCTTAAAATGTGACTTCCATCTTAATGGATTGGTATTCCTCATGCAGAGCACTTCAGCTTATTAGTATCATAATATGGAAAATCAGTTTGGTCTCATCACTAGACTTAATACAATATATCTCACATGAGGTTCCTATCACAGAGGTCTAGGAAAGAAGAGCTATTCTTGGCTGCAACTGAGAACCACATCAACAGTGGATTAAACCAGGAGGGAATTTAGGTCTCTTGTGTGTAGCAGTCCAGGGCTAATACAGTGCTTTTGTTCCATAGACCAAGAGCTAGAACTCCAGTTCATCATTTCCTAAAAAAACCAGTATATTTTAATGCCCCAAAAGTGAATAAAAGTAACCAGAAAATTCACACCTAGAGTCTTTTTCTCATTTAGTGCACACTGGTGTAAATTTCATCATATCTGTAGTTTTGGAAAATCATCTAATTTTCAGAGGACAGAAATAAATTTATATTCCTGTTCTGGATGGTCCCTGAATGAGTTATTTAAAATATCTTTCTTAATTCACCCAACCTGGGCTGCTCAAATGTATATGTGTACACTAGATGGTTAAAATAAAGGTAAAGAGGCCTATTTATTAGATAAAGAGCAAAGAAGGAAGTGGCATCACATACTGGTCTCGCACCTATTCTCAGCCCTGGCTTCAAGATACATTCCTGGTTCAGGCATTCTCCCTTGGGATGGATGTAAATAACACTAGTGACCCAAGTCTCTTGAAGAACAATTATCTGATTGATCTCTGCCAAACTTCTTGTGTAACTCAAACAGGAAGAACATGGAAGCCAACAGAACCCTAGCAGACTCCATCCTCTTAAAACAGTGCTCTCCTACCTTCCATCTTCCTCTACCTTTTCTTCAAAGGTAGGAAATGGTCCATTTTCTTCCATTTTAGTTACACCAGAGACGGCTTTACATGAATTTATTTATCCTAAGACTCCCTTGGAGAAATGAGTGGAGCTGCTTTCCTAGCACTGGGAAAAGTTAGGAACCAGACAGTGCAGTGTGTTCAGAACCTGCCAACCAGTACAGGATCATTTATGCCATAGCACTGCAGTTCATAAACATGCTGATACTTGCTCTTACCTCATAAAAGTTTAAAGAAATTCATTTTCTTACTGTTTAACAATAAATCTAATTTTAACATTAGGCTCAAAGTATACTTAATTGCTGAATAAGTCAGTTCAAGAAAAAAGGCTGAACTTCTACTGTGTACCACGGTCTTTGCTGGGGTGGAGGAAACGGGAGAAAAAAAACCAAAACACAAAAACGTGTAAGACATGGATACTACCTTCAAAAATGTCACACTCTTGTATAGGAGATACTCATTTAAAAATTAGTTAACAACAGAGTCTTCCGGTTAAGATGGTGCAGTAGGTCAATGCTGTGCTTACCATCTCTCAGGACCACATCAATTACAACTGAACTACAAAACAACCATCATTGAGAATTGCCTAAAATCTTGCTGAACCGAAGCCCTACAACGAAAGATATGCAGAAGCAGGTAGAAGGGGCAGAGATGTGGAACAGGCTGGTCTCACATCCACTTGTAACCATTAAAGATTGGGAGGGATATCTTGGTTGCGGAGGTCCCCTTGGAGAAGTAAGAGGTCCCATCCCAGGGTTCCAGTGTCGGGGAGAGAAGTCCCCATAATTTCTGGATGTGAAACCAGCAGAGCTTGTGACTGAGTGAGACAGAGGGCAGCTGGAGTCCCAAGTACTCCTCTAAAAGGGACTACACATGGACTTACCCACCAACGGAATCACTGGCTCTGAGCTCCAGCGCTGGGGCAGCAGCTGGAGAGGTGGCAGAGACATACGAGGGGGAACTGAGTGGTCTGGCTTCAGGATGGACTGGAGGGGCAGCTTTTTCCTGGACAGAGGAGCTGGTGGAGACCATTGTTTCTTTGATTGGCCCTCCCCCTTCCCAGCATGCAGACGCAGGCTGCTGCCATATCTGCAGTTCATCTGGCCCTGATGATTTGAGACCCCGCCCCAACTTTCGGGCACACCCAAGCCACTTCCAGTAGCTTTTTGTACAAACTGCCTGCCTTGGCTCATGCTGCAGACTTTCCCATCTGCGGATTTCTTTGTAGGTTCTGCTGGGTGGCCCCAGGTGGGGCATGGGCTCTGGCTGAACTTGACTGGCAGCAGATACCCTCCCAGATGGCATGGGACTGGTGCCCCCAGTGGCCAGCTTCAAAATGAGCTGGAGCATCACCCAGCTACCTCCAAGGATGACACACCCAGGGGGCAGATTGGGCAGGCATCAGAACCCTACTGAGGCAGATCCTGCTCTTTAGGGTCAGCCCCTGCACCACAACTCTTCCACTGTAGTCAAGGACAGTCCTCAAAACCAGTGAGCCCAAGGGTCAATCCCTCTCATTGATGTGCAAGTAGCAACCACGGTTCGACTATAAGAGGAGGTCGCACAGCTCAAGTGACCAGGAAGATTGTGCCACTGAGCCCCACAGCACACCTACTACATAAGACCACTCTACTAAAACTGGGAGACATAGCAGCCCTACCTAATACATAGAAACAAACACAGAGAGGCAGCCAAAATGGGGAAACAAAGAAACAGGTCGCAAATAAAAAAACAACAAACCTTCAGGAAAAGAATTAGACAAAATGGAGACAAGTAATCTACCAGACACAGAGTTGTAAACACTGGTCATAAAGGTGCTCAATGATCTCAGGGAGAACTTCAACAAAAAGATAGGGAACAAAAACGGAGATAGAAAACAGAATTAAGAACCAGTCAGAAATAAAGACTACAATGACAGAAATCAAGAATACATTACAGGGAATCAACAGATTAGATGAAGCAGAGGATCAAATCAGTGATTTAGAAGATAAGGTAGCAGAAAACACCCAATCAGAACAGAAAAAAGAAAGAAGAACCCCCAAAATTGAGAGTTTAAGGGGCTTCTGGGACAACCTCAAACATACCAACAATCGTATTATAGGGTTAGCAGAAGAAGAGCGAGAGCAAGGAATTGAAAACCTACTTGAAGGTATAATGACAGTATAATCCCTAACCTGGCGGAGGAAATAGATTCACAAGTCCAGGGAGCACAGTGAGTCCCAAACAAGATGAACCCAAACAGGTACACTTCATAATTAAAATGCCAAAGGTTAAAGACAGAGAATCTTAAAAGCAGCAAGAGAAAAGCAGTTAGTTACCTACAAGGGAGCTCCCATAAGATGATCAGCTGATTTCTCAACAGAAACTTTGCAGGCCAGGGCTGGCCCAGTGGCACATTGGTTAAAAGCTGTCTTGGGACGCCAGCTTTGAGCAGCAGGGCCCCAGTTCGGATCCCATAATAGGGCCAGTGACACTGCGCCCTTTACAGCTAACATGGTGAACAATAGCTTGACCTGGAGCTGGGCTGCCGTGAGTCTCCGGCAACTGCGTAGGCTGCAGTGGGCTGCCGTGAGCTACAGTGAGTGGCTGGCAGCCAGCATGAGCAGCCGGCAGCTGGCGTGAGCTGCCAAGAGCCACCGTGAGCCGCTGCCCCATGGCTGGCAACCGATCTGCCTAACTCGGGAAGAGCGCAATGATCACAATACCAACATGGGCCAGCGAAGCCATGTCCTCCACAACTACCCTGAAGAACAAAGGACAGCAACTTGTTTGTTCCCCTTCCCCGATTCCCCAACACTGTTCCCCTCCCCGAATCCCTCAATAAAATCTTTAAAAAGAAAAGAAAAGAAAAGAAACTTTGCAGGCCAAAAAGGATTGACATAAAATATTCAATGTGATTAAAAGCAAGGATCACAACCAAAACTACTCTACCCAGTAAGGCTATCATTTAAAATTGAAGGACAGATAAAGAGCTTCCCAGACAAGAAAAAGCTAAAGGAGTTCATCACCACCAAATCAATATTACAAGAAATCTTAGAGGGACTTATTTAAGACAAAAAAAAATATATATATATATATATATATGAATAAAAATGATAAAAAATGGCAATAACCACATACCTATCAACAATTACTTTCAATGGAAATGGATTAAATGCTCCAATCAAAAGATAGGGGAGCTGAATGGATAAGAAAACAAGACCCTTACA